GTATCGTGTTAGCTAGCTATATCGCCCGATAGTAAATAATCCAATTCGAATTGCTAGCTAGGTATATCGGGTAGTATATTGAGTTAGCTAGCTAGATCGCCCGATAGTCGATATTTTTTTTCTCCTTGGGATAGCGATTGAACCTATGTCTTACAGATTAGTATCTAAAAACTGTCAGTTTACAACCTGTTAACTGTATAGAAACCATCTAAAAACTGTCTGATTTATTGGCCACTTCTAGGTTTTAAGAAATTACTGTGTAAAAACGGGCAGTAAACGGTAAGACCAAAAAACAGTCAGTTAACTGTCTGTAAATGGGCCGTTAACCACACAGTTAACTAGCTGTTTTTTGACTTTTCCGTTTACTGGCAGTTATTAGATAGTATTTTTGCAGACCTAAATAAACGGGCGATTAAACTTATGGCCGTAGGCAGTTTTTTTGCTAGCTTTTGCTCTTTTTAAGAATAAGTACATACCTTTAAAAAACAAACATCAACAGAGGAATTTTCAATAGCCTTTTTGTTCAATAGTAATTTGAAAATAAAAAGCCTTCATATTGACGTCGTCTTCGAATACTCAAAAGTTTTACCCCCTTAACTGTAAATCTACTATCTAAAGAAGATGTTGAACGAAACCTATATCCGATGGCGAAATCTTTTACGGTTTTGCAGCAATTGCGAAACCTTTTTTTTCTAGGTTTTGCGCCTGTACAGAATCTAGAAAAAAACATATTGCAATTGTTGCGGAGCCCCAAAAGGTTTCGTCATCCGGTGTCGGTTTTGCTCAACGCCTTTTTAGAGAGTATGATCATACGAAATAAATTGTTCGTGTGCGCAACGCTGTTGCGATGGACAGGACGGCCGTTTAATAGTATGGGATGATATGGTGTCCGTTCAGCGAAAAGCAAATGAACAATAGGCGTTTGAGCGAAAATAAATCAGTGAAAAACATTTCAGCGAAAGTATATTTTAGCGAAAGTGCATAATAGCGAAAAACAAAATCGCCAAAGGCATTTCGTCGAAAAATTTTCTAAGTAACTTTTCTAAATAACTAATTTTTACCTTCGGTGGAGCGGAGGGACCAACTCATCTGAGCCTGAGCGGAGTCGGAGAGGAGAGACTAAAAATGTCTGGAGTTGGAACTGGAGCTGAGCTGGAATTGGGAAAGGTCGAAGTTGCCCATCTGGGACTCTGCTTCTTGAATCTGATCGACCTTCTTCTCACTTTGTCTCAGAATATAGATTTTGCTATTTCATCCTCGCAATTCGCGCAAAAGTGCTTTCACGATCATTTTTTTTCGCTGAAAAGCTTTTCGCTGATTGGGCTTTCACTAAAATGTTTTTCGCTATTTTGCCTCTTCGCTCAAAAGCGTTTAGCTAAATTTTTTTTGCTGATTTCCATTCGCTGAAAAAATTTCGCTGAATGTGAACGATACCATATGGGATAAGTTAAACTTCCAAAGAATATTCGACGTGCTGGGTCACTGCCGGGAATGGGTTGGACTCTGTGGATGTAATTGTACCCTCTGCAAACTTAACCTTTGGCGGCTCTCCACCTTGCACAGCCCTCCACGGGTCCGGTTGGACCCACGGGAAAAGACATCGAGAAGTTTGATTGTTTTCATTGAGCTCAGGTTCTTTATACATGAATCGAGAGCTTTGGTCATGCTCTTGCGAGCCATAAATATACCAGTATATTTACTGGCTTATGAAAAAATATATCGAGAAGTGGTGATAAATACCGAATTCAAGGCGGATCCGGTTGGACTCGTAGATAGCCGCCAAGGGTTCAGATGGAATTTTTATTTGATGATAGGTGGTGCATCTGCAGTGCCGACCCACTAGTATCCGTTTCAAAATACAACGAACTCACACTCTTTCAGTTCAATTTTGAACGAAATGAGATCTTAAAAACTGTGTTTTTCGCTGTTTTGTAATCAAGACTGTCAGAACTCCAATTTGTAAAAATTTTACGTCCCATATTCCACGAAACTTATTAAAAGACCATTGTATTTTGAAACAAATAATAGTCACTGACTCGTGAAGAAAAGAGAAAAGGAGGATTTCCTGACTCCTACATGTGAGTGATGGTGCATCAAGCAACCGCGTTTACATATCTTTTGCAGAAAATAGTCTAGTTAAATAACTGTTCGCTTTTTATGTTCAGCGTGTCGATCTCTCCTCGACTTCGACACAATTGGCATCAGCTATACACCAGTTCCAAATGGATACGGTTGTTTTGTTTGGACTGGCGCTACTGTGCTCAGTAGCACAGCTTTCGGTACTCTGAGTGGCTATTATACGGTTGTTTCTAGTGGTTCATACGTTATTTATACGTCCACAACGCTCACAATGCAAAACATCAATATAACCAACTCAACATTTACAATGAATTCGTTTATTGCAGCATCGGCCTGGAATGATAATTTAAATATTTATATCAGTGGTCTGTTACATGGTGTAGCTGTACAAACAACGACTTTGATACTTCAAGTATTTACAAAAACAGTTGTTACCCTGAACTGGTCTGGTATTGATACAATGACATTAACAACAAGTGGTGGAACACGCAATGCAAATATATCCGCCGCTGGAAATGGAGAATTTATTGCAATCGACAATATGTTAGTAACACATTAAAAAGCTACTAATAAAATATTTCTGGTATGTATTATATATTAATGCTCTCGCATAAATAAGAATAATAATATTGCAAACCAACATGCTACAACTTTAGCGGACGATGTTTTAACATCAGTTCGGCAAACTCAAACGCGTGGCTCCTTCATCGAATCGTGAAATTGACATCTAATATGTCTTCATCGTTCTAGTTTGTCCACGCCGACGATCTTCTCGGAATTGGTATCAACCAATATGCATAATCATCAACATCGGCAGAACAGCTCGTAGCGTACAACAGAAATGCTAGTTATCTGCTTTGCAGCATTTCTCATTTTTAATTCACGTGATTATGCCGTACTATTATATTCGGTTATATCGAAACACGTTCTTCCGAATACATTAGACGTTTGACTTCATTTCCATTTTATGTTGTTTTTCTCCCCATTTTTTCTTCTCTCCATTTTTTTCTCTCTTCATTATGTGACAACCAATTTCATCATGAACTTATTCTTCTCAAAGCATGCTGCTGAAAATATTGTACAAAGCAATTCGACAAACAATGGTTTCCTTCCAAGAAAATTCCACGACAATCGAGTTTTTCCAACGGGAAACAGAACACTTCGGCACTGCCGGAGTGTGTGGGAGTGTGGGAGTGTATGCGTGGGCAAAATTCAGCTGCTTTGTTTAACCACCTTCTCACAGCTTATTTACAGCCAGTTAAATGGCTTTTTTTTAAAAACAAAAGTATAGCGAGCGCACGGCCACACACTACCAGAGAAAAGGAATGATCTAAAAGCTGTCAGTTTACAACCTGTTAACTGTTTTTGAACCCAAATTCAATTCATACTTCGCATATAAAAGAAATCTCAAAAAGCTTGTCAGCAAAAAAGACTCCTTCTAAGAAACTCCATTTATTATATGTGGCATCGCGCACATGTTAAAAAGCACGTTGATACAGTAGAAACTAAATAAATATCAAAAGAATTTGAAAAAAGACAGCAGAAGAGATATATCAAAGATATAATGGTTTTGCGGGTATTAGTAAAGCATACGGACCCCACGGACATCCTCTGAGAAGTACACGTGATCATCAGCATTTTTGTCACGGGGCTATCGCGACAAAAAACGCTGATGATCACGTGTACGATAGTGTGAACAAATATAATATAAGTTATGGTTGATAGCATCAGATTCTTTTTCAATCATAAAATGTAGAACGAGCATTGTATATGAGTAAAACTTGAGCGTAATTGCGCTTCTCAGTGGGTGTCCGTGGATGTCCGTGGGTGTCTATGTGGGTGTTCGTAATTTTAATAATAACCTCACTTTGCTTTTCCATTAACCAAGCTTACATTCAAGAATTATGTTTTCATTAATGGTGGTGCAAATACTAAACGTATATATATATTCTTTTGAGGTGCACGAAGGTTACTTGGTAGTTTTCACATTTGTGCTCTGCAAAAGCAACGCCGACAAGCTTTTTGAGATTTCTTTTATATAAGAAGTATGAATTGGATTTGGATTCAGAAATGTCACAAACTGTATCTCTTTGTCTCATGTGAAAAAAACTTAGAGAGTATACTTTCCATATACGTATAAGTTCTCCATACCTGATAATAACTGAGTATACTCAGCTATGATCAGGTATGAAGAACGTTTTTCCTTCAGAAATGTGTAGTAGTAACTGATTTCTTTCTTTTAATCGCTAATTAAAAATATACGCATATGCCTGAGAATTCAATGTTTTTCGCTATTATGCACTTTCGCTAAAATATACTTTCGCTGAAATGTTTTTCGCTGATTTTTTTGCTCAAACGCCTTTTGCTCAGTTGCTTGCCGCTGAACGGACACCATATCATCCCGTATTATTAAATGGCCGTCCTGTCCATCGCAACAGCGTTTGCGCACACGAACAATTTATTTCGTATGATCCTACTCTGTAAAAAATTCATGAAGGAAAAATGGCTTTGACTTATTGGAAGCATTCAATAACTATAGAAATTTCCAAATCATTTCCCGCATTAACCTTTCCAAAAAATTAGCCGAGCGATGCTTTCGATCGGTTTTGGGTTTCAGCCTATGAGAAAACTTTCTTTTTTCATCATTCTGAGGCAGTCGTTTTGAACTACGTAACTATAAACGTTTTTCTTGAACTTTGTGAAGCCCTTCGTTCTGTTCTGTAATTAATTGCGCACGATATGATGAAATAGACTGTTGCTGTTCTTTTTTGGCGACAAACAACAGAGATTCTATTCAGGGAGAATGGTGTGATGTTGGCAAATAACAACGTTCGCAGTACTTCAGTCAACACTCGAGTACGAGTAGTCATATTATTCGTCGTTTACTCTTTCTCCGAAAAGGAGAAAGAGTTCGTTTTATTGCAGGGCGCCAACCTTGGTGGTCGTGAAATGTTTTATGAAACTTGACAGGTGCACGAAGCAAGTGGATAGAAAAAACACTTAACAATGATGATAGAAATTGAACATATTTAGAGTAACTTAACAGTCCTGGTAAAACCAACATCTGTCCTGGGTGCAGAATGGCATTTCGAAATCGAAATTTTTGGGTAGAGCTAACTTTTTGCCACCCCATCGGAAGATGCTAAAAATTTGGACATAAAGGTTTCAGATATCGCTGATGAAGATGAGAACATCAAATCAAAAAAGTAAAATTTGACTCGGTGCCTCAATTCCTTGGTCGACCCTCGGGTGCTCTATTATATCCTCAAAACAAAAAAAACGGAAGCGTTTTGGATTTTTTCGATCCTAAATGATTGCTTTCGGATAATCCGAAAGCATCATTCAATTCGAATGTCAAAAACTGAATCGACTGATGTATATTTCTGCCCTGTTCGACGACTTTAATGTTTTGTCGAATTTTCACTTTGAAAAATTACCGAGATTTTCACTCAAAGCTGAAAATCAACTAAACATTTCGAAATACACATCAGTCAACTCAGTTTCTGATCCTGATCCCGAATATGATATTTTTATTGTTCAAAAGTGGAGTTCTGATCGAGAAAAATGGAAATTACGGGTAAAATTCCGACTTTTTCGCCTCTGATTTAGAAAAAATGATTTTTCTCAGCAACCAAAAGGAATTTCAAAAAACTGCATGTATTCTTTTGAAGAGGAGCATCTAACGAGCCGAACCATGTGAAAATATTGGCTCTAACGTCTCAAGAAAAACTTGTGAAAAGTTTGCAAGAATGGATGGATGGATTTTGGTCACTTTCGACGGCCTTGGCCGATAGATGTTCAGATCTGAAACGGCTTTCAGACCATTTTCTGATTCAGTTTTCAAAACTGAACAAGAATATGGCAGTTTGAATAATCCAAGTTGGGATGAAACTTGGAAAACTCAGCTTTATAAAAAATAGTTGAAAATCAGGTTTTCACACGCTTCGAGTTTTTTCGATTTTTCCAACAGAAGAAAGGTTCGAAAAAAGTTAGAGAACACATATCCTTGCTCGCCGTAAAAGTCTCTATCGAATGGTAAATATAATTTTTTTAATTGTTTTTTCCTAGAGTTTACTACACTGACACTTATCGCAACCTTTGCCTAAAGACTTGGCGAAAGGGTAGTGCTCATAATGAAGTAAAAACGTGCCCTTAATTCGTTAGTGGCGGAACCTGAATGTTGGTACGGTGGGCTCAGCCTCACAATCTAAAAAGCATCACAGGAGATCGTGCGAATATTTCGGAATCGTCGTTTTATCTCTTAGAGAAAAATGCTTTTCTCCTCACGAGAAACATTTTTTTGTTATAGAAGCAATATTAGTTTTTGAAATTCTCTTTTCAACTTTTTTTGAGACGATATTTAGCGTTTAGTCAGGGATCGCATGGGGGAAACACTTTTCAAGCGGAACATTTTTGCCACAGAAACCAAAATTAGTGTTTCAAATCTGCCGGGTGATAGATACGTGGTTTAGCAGAGATTGCTTGGACCTATGGCAAAAATGCGTTTCTCTTCAGGAGAAATATTTTCAATCATAGAAACAAAGTATTAAGCCATTCGACTTTCGATAATATCTTTTTTCGATTTGTCTAAGCCAATTCCTGTGTAGGGCGCTATGCTAATTACATGCGTAGAAACGAGGCGTCGGTCGTCTCGTGTTAGAAAATAGTCGTCACAAAAGGTGGAGACGAGTTTTCCCTTTGTTTTTTGAAAAACGTCCGGATCATAAGATGACAAAAAATGTGACAAAACAGGGAAGATGATCGATCAAGATAGAGCGAGAGAGAGAGAGAGAGAGAGAGAGCGAGAGAGAGAGAGAGAGAGAGAACAACAAAAACAAGTCGAAAGCAACAGGACCGAGAGGGATAAAAGATGGACAAAACAAATGAGATCAAAGAAAAGAAATACATCAAAAGAGGGTCAAAGGAATAACATAGATAGCGTCACTGAGTGACATCTGTAGACGCTAACAAAACTGCGAAAAACTCTCAATGCAGGTGGCTTTTAATTAACCACCGTATAATTTTTCGGCGGAGATTCTAATAGGGGTGAGCCTTGTATTATGGACCGGGAAGTTAATATGCTTTTCCTAAAATTATTCATTAATCAGCAGCTACTTGCTGGGAGGGGAGGAGCGGGCTGAGCGAAAGAACCAAATATAATCAAGTTACAGCGAGAGAGCCGATGCAAGTGAGGCTTTTCGGAAAAACATGATCTGTGGAGGTTTTCAGTGTTGCATTATAGAGAGAGTTTGGATACAAACACTCTGAAATGCACTTTACTAGACAGCGATTTCAGTTCCCAATTGGTTGACCGGGTCTGTTTGTAACAAATATTGATGTTGCTTCACCTATATTAGATGAACGTATATCAATGGTATGTGATGAATTTAAATAAGTCAAATTAATTGTTATCTAAACATTTCTTTTATGCTTTGAGATCGTGTATGATGTTGATTTAATGAGAATCACTGCTGTTAA